AGAGATAGATTTGAAATTTCCTCCAAATATTKGACAGTTCAAACATTAAACAAACTTTTTGGCYACCAAAATGCTAAATCATTGATGACTTTCTATTCATTGTTTGTGGACTCAAAGAYCATACCATCAATACMATGTGGGTMARCCAAAAAGGATTTCATAAAAGCCATCTTGTGGGTAACCACATCAGACCTGCAACAGCACAACCACAGCGACAGAAGACTAGCARTGTAAATCCCTAYAAAGATGCYTTCATTAGCCCRGCATCAATATCAGCAACTCACGTCCCAAGACCGTTGTTAAAGAGAATGGTTAGACAAGATTACTTTGGTACAACAATTCCACGTAATACAAGTCTGTCATAGTATTTTTTAAAAGTCTTCATTTAGTGATTTTCTTTCATCAGTGTAGAAAGAAAACGTTCTGAACAGTAATGGTACTCATTATATTTAACTTTGTTATTTGACTGGTGATAAGAGAAAATTACAAATTCTTTATTATCTGTAGCGGACCTCTGTAGCTTTGCAATTGTTCAGATTTCAGTGAAAACAAATGGAAATTTAGACTAAACCTTCTCCTTCTCTCTGAACTAGTTGAACTTTTTAACATTAACATATTTCGCATATGCATATTATGCTTTTCTTTTTTCTAAACAGTGTTTTGCAAGATAAAATGAGATAATTTATATAATCCGATTAATGTCGTTTTTTTATATAGTAGTTCAGTTGTTTTAATAAAACTCACATACTTAAAAAGAAGTCGATTTCGTAMATSATTTAATTAACTCAGAACTCTGGGCAAAACAACGTGTGACTTTTTGCCGCGCTCAAAGTTACGATCGTCTTTATCGCGCAGCTCTCGTGAAGAAAATCCATAGAGYTCAATACCATTATGAACAAAAATGGTCGAGTTTAAACATAACTTTTACTTAGGACACTTGGGGTGCAGTTTTTCCCTTTTTTCGCAGCATTTAACCAGGGACGTGATTTAACGAATCTTGATTTCCAGTGAATTAGACGRGCGCTGATCTTATGTCACACACGAAAAACAACACATTAGCAGATAAAAGAAGCAA